TGAGATATATTTTTGAAGATTATTGTGAAGATTTAGTAAGAAATAATTAGATGTAAATATAGAACATAATGCCTTGCATTTTGGCTTTGCATTCAAATTCTCTAGATAGTTCCTTATCCTTATCTTTATTTTCTTTTTGTTTCCTTCCTTCTGCCTTCCTTATGAAGCCAAGTTTCTCATAGAATTGAAGTATGAACATTTCCCTCAGGAAACGTCTTTCTCTACCTAGCAAATTTTAATTTGCAGTGTTCAATTAGATTTCGTTTCTTAGCAAGGTTGCTATTGAAAATATTTTACAAATTCTGAGACAGCTACCACCCAATCAGAATGGACACTAACTGTGAAGAACCTGTACAGCTATGCAAACACGTACAAGCTCAGATCTGGTTATAATTTTTTGCCTGTAATTTTTTTCCGATCTATAAGCAATGCTGAGATTTAGCTGGCCTACATTAGTATGGCTGAATTGATTTTTTTTATGGCAGGCATTCATTCTGATGCATTGGAGCACTTGCCATAGAATTTGTTAAATATTTTGAATATCACCTCTAGTTATTAGTCATTTAGAAGAGTGTTTTAATTATCTCATGTTTTAGAGCTTTTTAATTAATTACTGTTAATTTAATTGAGAGAATATGGACTGTTTAATATAATTTCTTTGTAATTTGCTGGTTCTTGTTTTCAGCCTAAGAAAATATCAATTTTTATACATGTTCCATATGTGGCTTAGAAGAAGGTTTATTTCACAATAGTTGAGTTGTTAAGTTTGTTAATTGTTTTATTCAAATAAAGGACTTCCCACATCTTGGTTGTGACCAGATATTTCTTCATTGCTGGAACTAGATTTTCTCTTTGTGAAGTTGGGGAAATACTAGCTTTTGAAGAGTTATCATGAGGGTCCAATAATATGATCTTGATAAATTATTTTGGAAATTAAATGTACCTTCCTGAAGATATTTTTTAATTCATTATTTACTTACTTATGTATGAATTCAACAAATTTATAGAAATAGTACAGTATGTACAAGGTAGAGAGCTTAGGTGGGTGCTAGGTATGCATTGGTGAAAGAAAAGAATTATACCTCTGTGTCTTTCTCTCAAGGTCCTAAGTTTATCCCTTATCACATATATTTCAGAGTTTGGTAAACTACTCAATGTTTTCCTTTTATATGATCATATGATTATTATATAATTTTGCATTATACTAAAGAGATTTTCATAATCTATGTTTTAGACACAAGAGAGAAACTGCAGAAGACACACAAATGTCTTTCTCAGGACCTTCTGTCATTTAGTTGTGTATGGAATAGTTTGGCCAAAATTAGTGCTCACACTCCATCTGAGGCACTACATTTCTCAAGCAGAGAATTGCATATTCCATTGCTTTTAAATATACCTCAAGACAGAGTAAAGACTTGACAGGGCTATACATTTACCAGAAGTAAAAGCTGAGTGACAGATTCAAACCTCTGAGGAGTGGCAATAGTAGGCCACTGTTTGTGGGTTACAGAAAAGAAGATGTAAAAACTGAAACTAATACAGGTACCAGCTAAGGAGCTGCCATTGTCCTGATGAAGAATCATACCTGGGGTGATGCTGACAGGAACACGAAGCAAATAGTGAAGCTCAAGATCTCTGTCTTCCTCCAACCTTCTTTTGTCTCTCTAGCAACTCTTTTTTTTTTTCTTATTGCCATAACATCGGTTTATAACATTCTATAAATTTCGGGTGTACATCATTATATTTCCATTCTTGGGTAGATTACATCACGTTCACCACCCAAAGACTAATTAAAATCAATCACCACACACATGTGCCTAATCACCTCTTTTGCCTTTCCCCTTCCCCACTTCCGCTCTGGGAACCACCATTCCAAGCTCTGTCTCTCTGTGACGGTTTGTTGTTGTCTTTAGCTTCTACTTATGAGTGAGATCACACTGTATTTTACTTTCTCCCTCTGACTTATTTTGCTTAGCATAATACCCTCAGGGTGCACCCATGTTGTCACAAATGGCCAGATTTCATCATTTCTTATGGCTAAGTAGTATTCCATTATATGTATATATATATATATACACACATACATATACCACTTCTTCTTTATCCATTAGTCCCTTCATGGACACCTAGGTTGCTTCTAAGTCTTTGCTATTGTGAATAATGTTGCAATGAACATAGGGATTCAGGTATCTTTACACATTCATGTTTGAATGTTCTTTGGATAAATACCCAGCAGTGGAGTAGCTGGATCATATGGTAGTTCTATTCTTAATTTTCTGAGAATCTCCATACTGTTTTCCATAGAGGCTGCACCAGTTTGTACCCCCATGAGCTGTGTATTAGAGTTCCCTTCTCTCCACATCCTCTCCAACATTTGTTGTTTCTTGTCTTGTTAATTATAGCCATTATGACAGAATTGAGTTGATATCTCATTGTAGTTTTTTTTTTTTCTGAGGAAGATTGGCTCTGAGCTAACATCTGCCACCAATCCTCCTTTTTCCTCTGAGGAAGATTGGCTCTGAGCCAACATTTGTGCCCATATTCCTCCATTTAAGATGTGGGACACCTGTAGCAACATGACTTGATAAGTGGTGTGTAGCTCCGCACCCATGATTTGAACCAGAGAACCTCTGGCTGCTGAGTCAGAACATGTGAACTTAATAGCTGCGTCACCGGGCTGGCCCCGGGATTTGTATTTTTGACTTCTCTTTCTGCTAGTTTGTTATTAGTGTATAGAAATGCAACTATTTTTGTATGTTGATTTTGTATCCTGAAACTTTGCTGTAGTTGCTGATTATTTCTAATAGCTTTCTGGTGGATTCTTTAGGGTTTTCTGTATATGGAATTATGTTGTCTGCAAACAGTGAGTGTTTTACTTATTCTTTTCCAATTTGGGTCTCTTTTACTTGTTTTTCTTGCCTGATTGCTCTTGATAAGACTTCCAATACAATGTTAAATAAGAGTCTTGAAAGTGGGCATCCTCTTCTGGTTCCTGTTTTTAGAGGGATATCTTTCAGTTTTTCTCCGTTGAGAATGATATTAGCTGTAGGTTTATCATATATGGCCTTTATTGTGTTGTGATACTTTCCTTCTATACCCATTTTATTCAGTGTTTTTAGCATAAATAGATGCTGTATCTAGCAACTCTTTTGGAATAATTTAGCAGAAGCCTACCAGTAAAGCAGACATGTAGTTTTTAGTGTCCCAATGCTAACTCACAAAGCAGAGCATAGAAAAGTAGATTTGAAGCTGAGAGACGATAGTGTCATAGCATCAAAATTACTCCACAAAAAGTAAGGATGAAAATCTTGTGCCTACTCAAAACATTATGACCTATTAAAGTGCACCCAATGCTAATAATAATAAGCAGCCAATGTTTATCAGACATTTAGGATGTTCTAGGCACTATTTAGCACTATGCCTGAATTATCTTATTTAATCTCATGAAGAAACAACATTTATGTGTTGATGAGAAAGGAAGATATTGTGGGCTTACTTTTACAATTTGGAAGTAGCTGTAGTCTTTTACTTTAGATTTGTGTTCTATATTTCAACTCTCATAAACTCCTCAAAGGATTGGAAAAAAGGAATGCTTTCCTCTATTGACATATCTAAGTCAATTCTTTCTATGGAAAAGGGACTTCTATTCCTTACATTGACATTGCTCCACCTGGCTGCACTCTTCAGACAATAGAGATTCTCTCGGTTTTGTGCTATCTTTTTCTTATCCTTCAATGCCCAAAACCCTGTAACTCCTCAGGTCATTGAACAACTTGAGTTTTTGTCTTTTGCCACTTCTTATCCTCTTATTGCAAATTTTGTCAGTTACCAGTTCTTTCTAGTTCTCCTACTGATTAGGAGCTGTATGGTCCAATGCAGAGAAGGAAAGAAGCCCTTGTTCCAACCTGATCTCAAAGGCCAAGAGGAATTCTCTGCTACCATGCCATCTCTATTTATTAGGTTAAATCTTAGGATGAATTACTAAAGGACTTTTTCAGTTATCTTTGTCTCATTATGTACCAGACCCACAAAAGTTGTGGTAGCTGGTAAATAAAATATGTTCCTCTGCATTATATTACACATCACATAAGAAAGAAAAGGTAGTACATATGACAAGGAAGTTCACATGACAACATGCCAATCTACTTTATTTAGAAAATATTGCATTGAATCAAATCTATTTTTGAATAACCTTTGTTACCTCAGATATCACAGATATGCATTTCTACGTTTATACATACTGAAGTTCATTTATTTATTCAAAATATATTTATTAAGCATCTACTATGTGTCATGTTCTATAATACTTCTTTGGGATGATGTAGGGTAAGAAGGAGACAAGTTCCTACTCTCACAGTGCTTATATGTGTGGTGGATACAAATAGTAAATAAATTAACAAATTAAAAATGAATATGCAATATTTCATGTACTGATTAACAATCACTTTGAATCATTAATTAATAATGTACTTATTTTTATGTGACAAAGTGTTTTCTGTCTTGTTTTAGTGAGGAAGATCGGCCCTGAGCTAACGTCAGTGCCAATCTTCCTCTATTTTATATGTGTGACACCGCCACAGCATGGCTTGATTAGTGGTGTGTCGGTCCACACCAGGGATCTGAACCTGCGAATCCTGGGCCATGGACGTGGAGCGGGTAAACTTAACCACTATGCCACCAGCCCACCCCCACAAAGTGCTTTTTAGGACACCTTTTGCCTTTTTTATTTTCTAAAGGTTTAAGAGTGATTATGTTTTGCTGGGACTTCCTAAGAAATGTTCAATGTTTTACATTTCCATAATTGTGTTTTGTAAAAGCACAAGCATATTATATTTCTGCAGTTTGAACAAAAACTAATAGTAACAAATGCAACCAAAATATTTCTATCATATAGTTTTGAATGACACACGGTGAAATTGTTTTCACACAGTGATTTTCTCTATTTGAATTTTGTATCTGCAGCAGCTTAGAATACTGAGTCACATGGTGTAAATCAGTATTCATATTCCATCAGAGTTTTTCCTACCCAGCATGTTCCTCACAGCAGTCTTTACATCCTTGTTCCTCAGACTATAGATGAGAGGATTGAGCATGGGGGTCATCACTCCATAGGAGAGGGAGATGAGGACCTCAAAGGTGCCTTGATTATCTGGACCAACAGAGCTTTTAGATCTGGGCTTTGTGTACATGAAGAAGATGGTTCCATAGAATATAATCACCACTGTCAGGTGGGCTGAGCAGGTGGAGAAGGACTCACGTTTTCCTTCAGTAGAAGAGATCCTCAGAATAGTGGCAAGAATAAAAATGTAAGAGATGGAAAGTACCAGCAATGGAATAACCAGAAGAATCAATTTGACCCTGCCATGCTGATCACACTGATTGAAATATCAGCACAGGCCAGTTCTAGGGTAGCTAGAATTTCACAGACAAAGTAGTTAATGACATTGTTAGCACAGAATGGTAATTGTATTGTGAGAGATGCCTGCACCACGGAGTCCACAAGCCCAGCAACCCAAGATCCAGCTGCCATGGGCACGTAGGTACCTTTGCTCATGATAGCAGGGTATCTCAGTGGGTAGCAGATGGCCACGTAGCAGTCAAGTACCATCATGCCTAGAAACTCACACTTTGTGGCCCCCATTGCAAAGGAGAGAAACATTTGCACCATGCACCCAGAGAAGGAAACTCTTTTCCTTCCTGTCATGAAGCTGTCCAGAATTATCGGGACAAAGGAGCTTGTATAGCAAATGTCCAGAAAGGAAAGATTACAGAGAAGGAAATGCATTGGGGTGTGAAAGTGAGAATCACAGATGATTACAGAGATGAGGACTCCACTTCCCAGCAGGATCATCAGGTACACCCACAAAACTAGCACAAAGAAAACTGTCTGGAGCTTTGGGTGGACAGAAAGCCCAACCAGGACAAATTCTGTCAACATGGAATCATTGGTCCTCTCCATATTACATTTTCCCTTTCTCCAACAGGCACTCTGTGGATGATAGAACAGAGATTTGTTAATACAGTGTCTGCAAGAGCTTCTCTTTTAAGAATCATATTCTGTGTTATCATGGTTCTCTATTTAGATACAACAATATAGCCATGAGAGAATTTTTTTGCTATGAATCCAGGCCACTAGAGCAGGAATCCTAACCTGATTTCCTCAGGGTTAAGAGAGAAGATATTTGATTATAGGACATTTGGATCCTAAACAAGTTTATTACCATTCCTACTAGTTCTGCCTCTTAACACATTGACTGCAAATCAGTGCCCCAGAGTCTGGAGGCAGCAGAAAGATGGGCTTTATTTGGCAGTGAATCCTGTACCATATTTTAAATTTGTGTTGGAGGTCAACATTTCAAAAGCAGGAGAATGGGATAAAAATCTATACTTTCAGTTTGTCTTCAAATACGTGATAATATTTGAAAACATTGGATCCGTTTCCATCATGGAGCTCAGTTACAAGTGACCCATTGGATTTGAAGCATGTTCTCCATTCTACCAAAGTACCCTCCTCTCTCTTTTATCTGCTTCTCACTGGAGATGAATATTAGTCGCCAATTAACATGTTTATTTGTTAACTTGCATCATTTATATGACCTGACAGAATTGTATATGTACGTGAATTCTTAACCCATTGCTGCAGGGCTGACTTATCCACCAGGCCCAGTAAGCCTACTATGCTGTTAGGAGCCTATCAAAATGTTTTGATTTCTTGAAAATCTGAAAGAAAAAATGATTTCTTTAAGTTTTAATGCATAATATTATCATATATATCTTTATACCAATGCAGATGTAAAATATAACTTTTAATATGATTTCATGGAAGAAAGGGCCCATGAAGGCAAAAGTGCCCAGTGCCCATCAAAGTCATAATGTAGTCTTGTGTGGTTGAGTCTCTTCAGAGCTCAGTATGGTCTGCTGGCGGCGTAAGTATTCATTATGTATTTGCGTAGAGCCTCACTGAGGACGGCAGCCTATTGACAGGGCATATCTTTATATTACTTCAGTATCTACCTCAATATGATGAGGAAGCATCTGTTCAATATATAAGGGTTTTTTAATAGAAATGAATTAAAAGTATTTACAAAGCCAATTTTATTATGAATAGAGAGATGTAATGTGTATTGTAGGCTCCTCCTGATTTATTTTCACCTCTTGTGAGAACTATCATTTAGGGACCAACTGTAATAACAGTGCTTTTATTCAAAATACATGCAATTAACTAAACCAAGGACATGCAACCATTAGTTCCTAGCAGATAAAATTTGTACAGAAGAATAATATATAAAACAAACAAAAGATAGTTTCTCTGGTTGAAGTTACATGGGTTCGCAGGGAAGGAGAAGGCATTTCCCCTTAGCACCTTATTCACTCTTCCTCCCTCAATTCAGTTTTTAGAGGATTCCAAGGGGCAGAGTTTGGAAACAACCAATGTAATAAGTAATTTTAATAATCTGCATTTTCAAGAATTTTATTAGCAATAATAATAATAATAGTAATATATGCATTGATTACTCTATGCCAGCTTCATTTCTTTTTTTTTTAGTCAGCTCTTTTTTTTTATTTTTTAAATTTTTTTTAATTTTTATTTTTTTCGGATGTACATCATATTTCGAATTTTGTATACATTACATCATGTTCACCACCCGAACACTAATTATAGTTCATCCCCTCACATGTGACCCTAATCACCCCTTTTGCCCTCCCCCATCCCGCCTTCCCCAATGGTAACCACCAGTCCAATCTCCAATGCTATGTTTTTGTTGTTGTTGTTGTTTTTATCTTCTTATGAGATCATATGGTATTTGACTTTCTCCCTCTGACTTATTTCACTCAGCATAATACCCTCAAGGTCCATCCATGTTGTCACAAATGGCCGGATTTCATCATTTCTTATGGCTGAGTAGTAGTCCATCGTGTATAAATACCACGTCTTCTTTATCCATTCGTCCCTTGATGGGCACCTAGGTTGCTTCCAAGTCTTGGCTATTGTGTATAATGCCGCAATAAACATAGGGGTGCAAGTATCTTTACGCCTTTGTATTTTCAAGTTCATTGGATAAATACCCAGCAGTGGGAGAGCTGGATCATATGGTAGATCTATCCTTAATTTTCTGAGGATACTCCATACTGCTTTCCATAGTGGCTGCACCAGTTTGCACTGCCACCAGCAGTGTACGAGGGTTCCCTTCTCTCCACACCCTCTCCAACATTTGATGTTTCCTGTCTTATTAATTATAGCCATTCTGACTGGAGTGAGGTGATACCTCATTGTGGTTTTGATTTGCATTTCCCTGATAGCTAATGATGTTGAGCATCTTTTCGTATGCCTCTTGGCTATCTGTATATCTATTTTGGAGAAATCTCTGTTCAGATCTTTTGCCCATTTTCTAATTGGATTGCTGGACTTTTTGTTGTTGAGCTGTATGAGTTCTTTGTATATTTTGGATATTAACCCCTTATCTGATATGTGGTTTGCAAGTATCTTCTCCCAATTGTTAGGTTGTCTTTTCATTTTGTTGATGGTTTCCTTTCCTGTGCAGAAGCTTTTTAGTTTGATGTAGCCCTATTTGTTTATTTTTCCTTTGTTTCCCTTGCCCAGTCAGACATGGGACTTGAAAATATGCTGCTCAGACCAATGTCATTGAGCATACTGCCTATGTTTTGTTCTAGAAGTCTCATGGTTTTCGGTCTTACATTCAAGTCTTTAATCCATTTTGAGTTGATTTTTGTGCATGGTGTAAGGGAATAGTCTACTTTCATTCTTTTGCATGTGGCTGTCCCGTTTTCCCAACACCATTTATTGAAGAGACTCTCCTTTCTCCATCGTATGCTCTTGGCTCCCTTGTCGAATATTAGCTGTCCATAAACGTGTGGGTTTACTTCTGGGCTCTCAGTTTTGTTCCATTGATCTGTGTGTCTGTTTTTGTGCCAGGACCATGCTGTTTTGGTTACTATGGCTTTGTAGTATAATTTGAAATTGGGGTGTGTGATACCTCCAGCTTTGTTCTTTTCTCTCAGGAATCCTTTGGCTATTCAGGGTCTTTTGTTGTTCCATATAAATTTTGGGATTCTTTGTTCTATTTCTGTAAAAATGTGGTTGGAACTTTGATAAGGATTGCGTTGAATCTATAGATTGCTTTTGGAAGTATGGACATTTTAACAATGTTAATTCTTCCAATCCAAGAGCACGGAATATCTTTCCGTTTCTTTGTGTCTTCTTCGATTTCTTTCAACAATGTTTTATAGTTTTCAGCATACAGATCTTTCACTTCTTTCATTAAGTTTATTCCTAGGTATTTTATTCTTTTTTGCAATTGTAAATAGAATTGTATTCTTAATTTCTCTTTCTGCTACTTCGCTGTTAGTGTATAGAAATGCAACGGGTTTTTGTACATTGATTTTGTATCCCGCAACTTGACTGTATTCCTTTATTATTTCTAAAAGTTTTTTAGTGGACTCTTTAGGGTTTTCTAGATATAAAATCATGTCATCTGCAAAGAGTGACAGTTTCACTTCTTCTTTTCCAATGTGGATCCCTTTTATTTCTTTTGCTTGCCTGATTGCTCTGGCTAGGACTTCCAATACTATGTTAAATAAGAGTGGTGACAGTGGGCATCCTTGTCTGGTTCCTGTTCTTAGAGGGATAGCTTTCAGTTTTTCTCCATTGGGAATGATATTTGCTGTGGGTTTGTCATATATGGCCTTTATTATGTTGAGGTATTTTCCTTCTATACCGATTTTATTAAGAGTTTTTATCATAAATGGATGCTGTATCTTGTCAAATGCTTTCTCTGCATCTATTGAGATGATCACGTGATTTTTATTCTTCATTTTGTTAATGTGGTGTATCACTTTGATAGATTTGCGGATGTTGAACCATCCCTGCATCCCCGGAATGAAACCCATTTGATCATGATGTATGATCTTTTTAATATATTGTTGTATTCGATTTGCTAGTATTTTGTTGAGGATTTTTGCAACGATGTTCATCAGTGATATTGGCCTGTAATTTTCTTTTTTTGTGTTGTCCTTGTCTGGTTTTGGTATCAGGATAATGTTGGCTTCGTAGAAGGAGTTAGGAAGCCTCACCTCTTCTTCAGTTTTTTGGAAGAGTTTGAGAAGGATAGGTATTAAGTCTTCTTTCAACGTTTGGTAGAAATAACCAGAGAAGCCATCTAGTCCTGGACTTTTATTTTTTGGGAGGTTTTTGATTGCTGTTTCGATCTCCTTACTGGTGATCGGTCTATTCAAATTTTCTACATTCTTCTTGATCCAGTTTGGGAAGGTTGAATGTTTCTAAGAATTTATCCATTTCTTCTAGATTATCCAATTTTTTGGCGTATGGCTTTTCATAGTATTCTCTTATTATCTTTTGTATTTCTGAGGTGTGCATTGTAATCTCTCCTCTTTCATTTCTGACTTTATTTATTTGAGCCTTCTCTCTTTTTTTCTTGGTGAGTCTAGCTAAGGGTTTGTCAATTTTGTTTATATTTTTGAAGAAACAGCTCTTGGTTTCATTAATTTTTTCGATTTTTTTTTAGTCTCTATTTCGTTTATTTCTACTCTGATTTTTATTATTTCCTTCCTTCTGCTGATTTTGGGCTTTGTTTGTTGTTCTTTTTCCAGTACCTTTAGGTGCACTTTTAGATTGTCTATTTGGGATTTTTATTCTTTGTTGAGGTAGGCCTGAATTGCTATAAACTTCCCTCTTAGATCTGCTTTTGCTGTATCCCACAGATTTTGGCATGTCGTGTTTTCATTTTGATTTGTCTCCAGGAATTTTTTAATTTCTTCTTTGATTTCTTCATTGACCCAATCATTGTTCAGTAGCATTTTGTTCAATCTCCACATTTTTGTGGCTTTTCTGGTTTTCTTTCTGTAGTTGATTTCTAGTTTCATACCTTTGTGGTCAGAAAAGATGCATGGTATTATTTCGATCTTCTTAAATTTATTGAG